GACTGACCAATGAGAAAAAGAATGTGGTCATCATCTCGGTTAAGATAATCTATTGACAAAGTGCACTGAGGAATTTTCAATAGATTAACCTTTTAGACAAAATGACCAATCAGAAGTCGTTCAAAAAGTTTTTTTTGAAGTACGAGATTCTACAATATGCACCGAAAAGCTTTTGTCTAACAAGACAAGTCTATATTCTTTTTCAAACACAGTTTTCTGGTGAGATTGTTTGCATCGGGTCGAGTCGGGTTCGGGTTAAGTTGTTGTCGGATCGGGTCGGGTTCGGGTTTAGATGTTATCGGGTCGGATCGGGTGCGGGTCGACATTTTGGCAGTCGGGTCGGGTTCGGGTTAGGTTTTCTTAACCCGTGCAGGTCTCTACGCTATAGCTAATGCGGTCTGACTACAGCGTTCTCACATAAGCGCTGTAGTCTGTCTGAATTAAGAAGTGTAGCACGGTAAGTAGAAGAGTAAATAAGACAATCCAAAATGCGCGATGCGTATTTCATTTTCAATTTCAGAATCATCCTAGCCGTTGATTTAGAACTTTGGTTTATAGGTGCACTCGGTTTTATGAATGTAATTGAATTTCTTGGACCAAAACTGTATATGATATCAAAAATGTTAAAAGATTTAGCATTTTTTATGTGTATTCTACTTATTGTTTGCACTGGCTATAGTGTAGCATCACGAGCCGTTTGTCTGAATGGCCAAATCGAATTTAGTGGCAAGGGCATCTTTCGACAAATTTTTTATCCAGTTTATTATATGATGTATGGAATATTTGATACGGATTTTCAAGTTTTAGACGGTGAGTAGCATGCATGTAACTCAAAGCCATATGCAATATGATAAGAATACTAGCAAAACCCTCGTTACGATATTTTTTGTTTTGTTTTAGAATCATTACACGTTGATTCATTAGAATCGGCGTCAGCTCATGTCTTGTTAGCGATACATGTCATGTTCGTTAATGTACTTTTGTTAAATTTGTTAATAGCAATGTTCAGGTAATGTTCCGTAATGGATAAGTTTAGAAGTATGTCTAGATGTCATAATGCACTTTTGAATGTGCATTTGAGATGTGACGTACTTTCACGTCAAGCCGCCCTCATTGCAAGTTACAGCAAATTCGACGTCCTCTGTAGAAATAAAAACGTCACATTGTAGTATCAGTGAAAAATATATTCCTTGCAGTAATGAGTGCTACAGCGATATGGACAATTTCGTTTTGAACACAGGATGTCCCGAACGTCGTTTCTGGGAGCTATGCTAATTTACTGATGTCAGCAGAGCCATATATGTAAGAACCGGTGTCATTGGTAGCACAAATCCAACCTCATCAAGTATATCGTAGTATCAAATAAACCGGTCCCTGTCTGGTCTATCCAGTTAGTAGTTAGGTTCGAGCTAGTGACGTTGTGGACAAGCACACACATATAAACAGACATTTTCGGTTGTATGACTCTGACTTACCGTGAAGCGAAAAAGGTTGTCCGGCATAGTCAGTGCTATAATAGAAAGAGAGAAGTATAGGTTAAGACATAAAAAGATTTCGTATTGTACCTTTATGTGACCGCTTATGAACGCGATGAAACTTGTATAATGAGGGATATTTCACATTTATATCTTTAAATCTATGCTGAAAACCTTTTCCTTCTTTTTCTAGTAATCGTTTTCAACAAGTTGAAGATGAAACAAAAATTGTTTGGTATAATCTTCGTTATACATTTGTCCGTGAATATTATGATAGACCGCCATTTATTGATCCGCTGATATTCTTCGGTCACATTTATTTACTGACTAAATTTTGCCTTAATAAATGTCAACATAATATTAAATCAAAAGTTTTTCCTATGCTTACATCGAATTTTACTTTTTATAAGAACATGTAAGAACTTTTCTGTTTATTTGTAGGAATGATCCCAATAGAGGCTGATTGTCATAAGAAATGGTCTGCTTTTGAAAAAACATGCACAGATCATTTTGCTGAAACACAAGTGACTGATAGATCCATTGAACATAGAGAAAATTCTTCGGATACCAGGTATAACGTTATTCAAAAACTAAAAAAGATAGAAACTGCCATGATTTGAAAATCTCAAAGCAGATAGTCCCAGCTTAATGAGATTTTCAACTTATTTTTTCAGGTTCAGACAAATAAATAAACAATATAATTTACAAGTAACACAACTTAATCGAAAATTAACTGAACAAGGTGAAGTAATAATTACAATGCAAAGAACAATTCAAGATTTAGATCGTTATTTGAGGTAATTGGTAAAACACAAAAAAGAATCTTTTCTCATTGTCTGTTCAAAAATAAAAGGCGGAGTTGTCTAAGCTGAATTTTTTGAATCAAACACGATAAAACGATTCTGTTTCAGCTTTTCGGTGTAGAAGAATGTACTTTATCCGAAGGTCGTCACTTCGTTAATTCTAAATAGATGTGTCGTATTTTTGTTCACCTCTTGTGAAAAATGCTTCATTTTTGATAACAGATTATTAATCGGACTCCACGCAATAGAATTTTATGGGGGTAATTGACTGCACTTTACCACCACTTTGCGATTTTATCTGATAAGCGCTTGGTATGAAATCAGTTTCGTAACTTTTCACTACAAGCGGTCTTAAAAAGAGATAGTTTGCTCTTCTGGTTTGTGAAGATTTAGAATTCTCGCATCAACGATCTTCGAATATGGCAGATTTTTCTATGTCTAAAAGCTGAAGTAGAATCGTTAATTCGAAAACTATTCAACTTGCACAGAAGGATCTTTTATTTTTGATGACCTACGACTCCTGCTTTAGAATTGAGGGCTTTATTCAAGGTTTTTTGTCTCAGACATCGTCGCTGTGTTCTTAAGCGACGAGAACCAGAAAAAGGGGCTAAATGGAACATTTTGTGTATCTTAAGGCCCCCCGCCCCACTCGGAAAAATAAATTTTCGTCCAAAAGTTGATTTTGAGATTTATATATGGTTGAACAGTCCAAAGTGTCCCCTTTCCAACGCACTAATTTTTATGCTTTGAAAAATGGCTTTTGATTTCTAGCTGGTTTTCTGAAAGTCTTCGGTTCTAAAAAGTTAGTTTTTTATTGAAATACCACTGTATATACAAAAATACATGTCGCAGATGTCTCTGCATACGCTCATTGGAGTTATACGCAAAAACGTATGGTGAACTATTATTATATTTCTTTCCTTCTTTGTTTTCCATTTCGTAACTTGTTTCACGTTTTTTTCAAAATCTCTTTTTAAGACTATATTGTTTTGTACTTCTAAGATATCTCCGTCATTTTTCAGGCTAGAAATTTCGCGTTGAAACTTTTAAAATTTCTCACTAAACTTGAATTGAAAAATCCAACAACGCCACGATATAGGAAAAACATTTCTCTATTTTTTTTTAAACCAATCCAAAATTTCTAGCCCGAAAAATGGCGGTGGGATCTTGGAAGTACGGAACCCTTAAAAAACGAACAAGTGCCTACTAAAATATCTTCAAGAATGGCGTAGTATATTTTTGACACTTACAAAAATTCTAAACAAGCTGTTTAGATAGTTCCCGTATGATGGACTTTGTTTAAGAAAAAAATGTGAGAAAACTTCAAGATGGGGTATCCAACAAAAGCGAGTTGTCAGATGTGTGCACTTCAAATCAATAGGATGATATAAATTTGAAAAATGCTAATAAATCTCTTTTTTCAGGTTTAATGCTCAAAACAGCCATGATGTTCAACATTTCTGAACTATCTGACTGACTTAACAGACGCAAGAGCTATCGGAATCAAGAAATTTGATTTAATGCTAGAATATTTTTAAACTAATCAAAATAAATTTTTTTTGATTACATGGAACGAAGCAAACTTTACCTCTTCTCTCAAATCTGTATATCTTTTCCATTTAGTTTTTTATTTTTTTAAAAAGATGTATTGTGTAACACTTATAGGCAATGAAAACCTAACAAAAAAACTAATTGTAACTGCAACTGTTTATAGTAAAATTTTTTATTTTCTTTTTGTTTTGCTGGTGAGAGTGAGAATCGAGTTGATACAGACCGTTGCTATAAAGTACTAACTTTTGGTTGCTGTTGTGGTATACTAAACAAAGTGAATTGAACGGCTTTATCTTTTTGCTACTGGTTTTCTCGACCCTGAAGCATTGTCCAAAGATAGAACCGGATTAGGCTGCCCGCTCCTTTCGAGTTTTACCAACCGATCGGTTTGACCTGGTCCGATCTTGCACCCCTCAAACCGTTATACAGAATCCGATGAGCTTATAATTGAAAAACATGACAGAAAAAAAAATATTTAGTAGCATTTTGTAACTCCGCTAACTCACTGTTCTTGTACTATTCTGAATATAAATATTAACCGGAACAGTTCATTCCTTCAATTTGTTGCCAGAAATGGTAGAGTTTATGAGAGTTTGAATTCACATATCTCAGATAGTCCATGCGTCGCAGGTTGTTACAAAATAGTAATGATGGGCGCTCATCAAAAATGTACACGCCGTTTTGAAGATATGAAAAAAAATT